CATGAGCAGTGGATATCAATCATGGGCGTGCAGGGAGAACCTTGACTTGATGGGAGGACATGAACATATCTCAACTAATTAAAATTTTGGCTATTATCTCTAAGCTTAATGAGAAATTTTTAAAAATTAGTAGAACCTATAGCTGAGTTAGGAACAGAAGGGAGTAGCATGTTCTTTTTCAGGGTGTGGTGAAACCTTTTCACAGTCGTAAGTCCTATTTTTGAAGATTTGTTTTTGTAGTTTTGAGTAGGAAGAACTAAAAGTTGAGTTTAAGAACTGCAGTCATCTCGCTCAACTGAACTGGTTTGGCAGTGAATGCTCATCTTCGTTTAAGAAGATAATATGCGTGCGTACACACGCATGCACACACAAATCACTTATGTACTATGATACTAATAGATGCCTAATTCCTGTTTTCCTGTCTTGTTTGATCTTAGCATCGTTTCAACATTTTCTGCGTGCTTCAAAGCTTTGATAATCCAAAATACATTTTAAATACAAGCCAAACCCAAATCTAATATTTCTTTTCTTCTAAAACTGATCTCTAAACATGGACAGTTGTCTGTGGATTTTAAAAATACACAAAGATAACTGTGGGCTTGCCAAAGTATCAAAAGCATTAATTCATCTATAGCCCAGTCATGAGCTTACAATGAAATAAGTTTCAGCTACTGAGCAAAACAGGAATTCTAATTTTTTGAAATAAAAATGCAGGCATGGACAATTAAGAATGTTACTATTTTACTAGGTTAGAATAGATGAGTTTGCATACTGGATCAGATCACTGATTGGTCTAGACTCTCACCTTAATTCTTAACAACAGATGATTAAGTATAAAAATGAATGTGTCTAAATATCTGAATGTAAGATAAAAATAACTACCAAGAAAAGGGAAATCATCTTCAATTTTTGAAAGAAGGTGTATTATTTATTCTGAACCTTATATCTGTGGATACATTTGGAAGAAAAATATGCAGTAAATCTCAAGTATAACCTAAATTTTTATTCTTTATCTTTTTTGGCTGATATTTAGACTCCAGTTCGGTAGTGTATTTACCCTGAGCTTAAAATAAGCATAGGCTTAAGAGTTTTGTTAAATCAAAGCAACATGGATTTATGATTCTTTATTTTTAAATACTTAACCTATTTCCTGGGCAATAACTTAGCACTTAAATGATAAATAAGAAAAAAAGCACAAATCTTCCGGGTTTTTCCCCATGAAAAATTCTTGAATTATATCCTCATTAAGAATTTAGCTTGAAAGAGCATTTTTTAAAGTTACAGTATAAGATTGGAGAAAGAGTAGAAAAAGAATATGAAACATGTCATAGTTTAGAACAATTTTTCAAAATATACTTTTGTCTCTATAGTTAATATAAACTTAGTCATATAGACTACAAATAGACTACAATTTTAATTATAAATAAAACAGGAGACTATATGTCAACTTCAACTTTTGTGGAGTAATGTCACATAAAATTATTTTGTTATCTAAGATTCAGGAGTTATGAGTTTTAGAATCAATACTAACTAGTAGCCTTATGGCAGAGACCAGAAATGTCTACATGTTGTCAGGCTACAGATAAACTATGCTTACATTAGAAAAGTATCTTAAGTAAGAAGCATTGCTTTGAAATCTTGTCTTCCTATGTATACATGATACTGTGTTGAAAATTGTGAAATTTCTTGAGAACACTTAGAAAGTCTGGATTAATAATAATTATCCACTCTGTGGAGTAAAAGGAACCCGTTTGTCTGTAGCTCAATCCATGAAATGAGGAAAGCAAATAAAGCCTGCGTTATACTTTTCTGAGAGAGATGCTTTACCCACACAAAGTGAACTGATGAGGTGGAAGAGCTTTGAGAAGGAAAGACCCTTAGTTTTATGAGGACACCCATGGATCTCAAGGCATCTGTGGTGGCGAATAGGCTTTCTTTCTATTAATACAGGTCAGTCAGGAGTACTGGTACTATTACTGATTTATTTATGTCTGTGTGGAAGATAACAGAAGTGGAACGTTACTTCCATCCAAACATGCCTTTTAGTCGAGCAAAGGGGCTGTTTAGCAAAATAGGGATGTATTTCTTTTTTTCAGTAGACTCACAGCTTGAGATTAGAGCTACTGTACTTACTGTTCCTGCATATTATGAGTTTGTGTGTTCATGATAGGATGTGTGAACTTTCTAAGGGAAGGAAGAAAAGAATTCCCTACTCTGATATATCTGCTTATTAGCATTGATAATAACACTATTCACCTACCTTTTGCAGGTGAATATCAAGGAGAATAGTTCACCTGTTCCTTGCTTTCTGGATTTTACAATTCAGAGGTTGAATCACTGGAATTTCTCCTAGTGAGATCAAAGGAGTTAGCTATCTCCTAAGTTTTATTTATATTAGTACTGTATACAATTGCTTCCATGATTCCATCCCTGAACACACAAGGTATGGATAAAAGATTCCTCTTTGTGGCTGCACGTTTCAGGTTAAGGTGTCAAGTAACATGGACAGTGATTGGACTTTAGAAACACCTGTGTGGAAGCTGGGATAGTTTTTTCTATGCTGCCTTCTTTATGTGAAAATGAAAACAGATAGGAAGTCAGAAAGACAGAAAATGCCTTTAAAAGACTGTTGAAGAGCTTACATAAAGTCAGAATGCTGAATTACGTATAATGATTTAATATATTTCTCTGTCCTTGCCATTGGAAAAGTCTTTCCTAATGTCTAGCTGAAATCTTCTTGGCTGCAGGTTTAAACACGTTGCGTCTTATACATAGAGAATGGTTTGTAGCCACTTTTTATGAAATTGAATAACTCCATCATGTTTTCCCTCAGTCATCTTTTCCTTAGACTAAATAATCCCAGTTCCCTTTTTTTTTTTTTTTTTTTAAACAATCTATGTTTTCTAGATCTTTGATCACCCATGTTGCTCTCCTCTGGACTCTCACCAAGAAGCACCCATCTTTCTTCAAGTGTGGTGCCCTGAACAGTATTCCAGCTGAGGCCTTACCAGAAACAGTGAAAGAATTGTTTCAGGTATTTATACTTCTGTTTACATATTCCAGTATGTTATTTGCCTTTTTTCCAAGCGTGATGTGGTTGATTTATGTGTATGTAGCTTGTGATCCACTACTACCTGTACGTTTTCTACACAACTTTTACCTATCTAGCCGTTCACAAATTGCCCTATATTGCTGCAGTTGGTTATTCCTGCATGACTCCAGAATTCTGCTCTTTCAAATCTTTCCCTTAAATTGCATCCTATTTTTGGACTATTCAACTAATTTTTCAAGATTATTTTCAATTTCAATATTCAATTCCAGTATTATACTCTCATGGCTGCCTCTCCTACACCACTTTCATCCATAAATAGAGTGTAATCTCTTCTGTCACCCGAGTTATTGATGATAATATTGAACAGTATCAGACCTATAACATATCTCTGCGTGACTCTGCTCAAAACATTCTCCCAGTTTGACTGCGAAGTGCTAATAACTTACTTGAATTTTTGTTCCAACCATTTTTACATACATCGTGAACATGTTTCCCTAGCTTGCTTGTGAGAATGCTATGCAAAATAGTGTAGGCACTTTAAAATACAACTAAGACGCATAGCATTTACTGCTCTTCCTCACTGACTCTCCACAAGATACGTTATTTTATTAGAGTTGTCATAGAGTTAAAACATATTGATTTGACAGCATTTGTTATGGACAAATCACTCTGGGTTATTATTTATCACTTTATCAGAGGTCACATTTTTGTCTTAGGTAAAGGTTGAGAAGAATAGGATCTGAATTCGTCCTTTTGTGTTCTTATGTGTCAGTTCTGTAGAAGTACAGATAACTTGGAAGTCCTTTTTTTTTTTTTTTTGTTTTGATGCACCCTGAAATTCCCAAAGCATGTCTAGCAATTAAAGAGGTGCATCTAGGTTGAAGAGAAGGATATAACCGATTGACATAAAAGAGGAACAGAGTGTATCCCAGGAAATCCGAGTAGCATAAAGTTACTTGATCAATGTTACTAATATATTTTAATTGAATTATTATAAAAGCATCTTTAACTTATCTGCATTTACAAAGCTTTCATGTGTATAGTTATGTATATATTAATTCATATTAAAACGTACACCATAAATCTACAGCTGCACACTTAAAGGGCTGCCATTGCCAATATACTCAACTGTATACTGAGTCAACTCAATCAGCTACAGCTGTTGTGCTTTGTTCTATAACAACAAATTCACAATCTGCTAACTACGTCCTGCTGTGAATAATTCACAGCTGATGCACATAGATTTTTATATAAATGATTCCAGAAGGGGGTATCCTTTATTTATGGCCAATATTTTGCCAAATTAAGACAGTTATGTCAAGTACTCTGAAAGAGGAATACCTTAGTCAAAGAGCAATTGTCATTATACTCCCATGAAATTTCATGTTTGAAATGCAAAATCCACAGTTTTACTGTGCTGTAGAATGCTTCTAGCGTTATCAAAAAGCTTACCTTATCCTTCCATGCACACTGGACTAACTGCCAACCGAGTAAGAAGCCTGGCACATCTTTTATAGTCTGTCATGAAAAAACACCACAGGTATAGACGCTTTTAAAGTAACCAGTTTTGTTTTTAAAAATCAAAATTGTTCAAGGTGTGCAAATTATTGCCATAATAAACTTTAATCAACACCTTAGTTTGCAACAGGGTAGAAATCTGCTCCTCAAACCTAGAAATTTAGTGTGCAGGAGTTATGTAACTGTGAGCCTTGTCGAATTGGTACGTACAACTACATGCACCTGATTTGTGCATACTTAATAGCTATAGATAAATAACATGAATGTGCTTAGAGGTTGTCCACGTGTATGTATATATGAAAATTTATGTATCTGTGCCTGTACTCAGATGTGGGATCTAAACATGTGTCCACAGTA